CATTGAGAATTGCTCGAGAAGAGATGATCCGAGAGGAATAGTTTCGCGTATTTTGCGTATAAATTTAATTTGAATTGGTCACGCGGTGAAAAATAATTGTCTCGTGATTAAGAAATTATATTATTTTTTAATTTTATTATTTGCGACTGTAAGAGAATTAAAAGTATTTACGTAGGTATTGACAAGTATTTGTAATATTCCGATACTTTAAAATTTTATGAAATCTAATCGAAAAACCAATTTGTAACCAATTAATCAATTCGAAATTTAATGATACTATACTACTCAAGAACTTTGTTTCGTTAAATATTAATTTCGCTATTACAAAATTATGCTTATTCTACGATCATTAGAGGACGCTATTACTTAACTTACTTTCTTTCTTAATAATTAAATTTCGAAACGAAACTCATTGTAATTACTTAAACTGTCATTGCTTGCATATCAACAATCACCACCAATATAAAAAACGTTAGCAAAATCGAACATTCTACAATACAACTTTGCAATGACACATGTATAATTGCGAAAATGGTTGGTTTACAGTGGCGATTAATTCATTTCTCGCATCTCTTAAAAACAGAAACCGCCTCTCGATGAGGAAGAGGAGGAGGAGGAGGAGGAGGAGTATATCGGACCTGGCAATTTTCAAACGTTACGACTCAATGACACCCGAACGATCGTAATCAACTGTCGATTTCTTCGCAGAGATTCTCTCCTTCCGTTTCACGTATCGGGAAAGAGAGAGAGAGAGAGAGAGAGAGAGAGAGAGAGAGAGAGAGAGAGAGATGAAGGGAGAAAGGGATGCAGGCAGAGAACGAACGATGCCGATACGCTAATGAAACCGCACTCTCATTAAAGCATCCAAATCGACGATACTAATTGGCTAGCTTTCGGAATACCCGGCATTATACCTCAGGATGCGATATAATAATCGTTGCGGACGAATTCGGGCCGGACAGCCGGTGGTTAAAGCGTCTAGTAATTTCATGGGCGCAGCCCTAGAGCGATTAATATGATTCCAACGGAAATTAACGACCGCAAACGGAAAAAAGGGAGGCTCGTTGGAGGAACGGCTCGTGGATCGTCGAAAAACGGCCACCTTCGAAATTGCTCAAGATTTGTTTCGTTCGAGTTTCGTTCGAGGCGTATGCGTCGGATGCGCGACAGTGTTAAGAAGTTAACTCGCGACTTCCACTTTTCATCCTCTCTGTTTCGTTCGAAGAACGATTGATATTTCGTAAGATTTAGGCAGAATCTTGATCTATCTTTTTTTTATTTTGTGAAAAGGAAAGGGGAGAAGAAGAAGAAGAAGAAGAAGAAGGGATGAAGAAAGAAAAGAATAAGACGAAGTCGAGGAATTTTTATAATTTTAATGTAATTGATAATGATTGAAGATTTTGCATCAAATATTCGATGGATTTTTATAGTTTTAATTTTGATATCGTCGTTTCGTGACAAATGATTTTGATTGGATTCCCTCGGAATATCTATCCTTATTACTTTGTAACTTTCTTTACTTTATTTTGGAGAACAGATCAGCGATAGATTCGAGAAAATTTTATTCATCTTGACGTTTGATTTCATACGAGGAATGCTAGTTTTACCACGCGGGATTACGTTACGATTCCTTGTTATAAGAATCCTTTTTCCAGAACAAGCTATTCGAACTATGAGAAGTTATTATAGATTTGACATTTGATGACGATCTTGACTGACAGATTTAGATAAATTTTATTAAAATTTCCCGGCTACTTCGTAACCTATTTCTTTTCTTTTTTTTTAAATAAAGATATCAGACTCGTGGAATATTTATAATTCTAATATCTTATATCGAGCGACAGAGGATTATTCTATGAATTACGCGAATCGTGTTACAATCCCTTTGCATCTATTTCGCATCAATGATCCCCTCACTTTGCATCAAATCTACAGCTACTGGAAGCAAGACGCTTCCACAAACTTTCTCCACGAACACACTTGACGTTCCACAGATAATCTCCTCGAATTAACTCGAACGATTAGATCACCAAGCCACAATTACACTCTGCTTAACCATGACCCCAAAATTTCAACCGTAATAATTCCCTCAATGAAAACGATTAATCACAAGTGAGTGTAAACACGGCCAACCCTTTTCTCCAACAGTTCCTCCATACAGGAATTCTTCCACAATTGGATAGGGAAAAATTGCCAGACAAAATTGTCATGAAATCTCGCGCCTTTCACGAGCAATTAACCGTCCGCCTATAGGTTCCCAGAAATTCTCACGAATGATGCAATCCCGCGCGTTAATTCCCCGATAACGAGACACAAAACTACGGCAATTACGTGTGTTACGTGTACATCGGTGTTATGTACGTGATGCCAAGCCACATCTCGTACACATCCACAACCAACCTGCATGCACGTCTAGACCAACCTCTCTCTCTCCTAGAGGAGAGTACCTTTATATATCACGGATAGGGAACACGGTGTCGTATCGTTTTTTTTTTTTTTTTCCTTTTTTAAAAAAATACACCGTCCGAGAAATATTTACACGGTCTGCCATTATAAAACGCCTTTTATGAGGAACAAAGTAGCCCGGCCGGCAGAGAAGGTGCGCCCTTTGACAATAATTTGTCCAGAATAAACCGGCCACCGGTCTCTCTCTCTCTCTCTCTCTCTCTTTCTTTCGTACACAATCTCTGTTTCACCCCTCTAGCCCTGTTCTGCTTCCGCTCGATCATCCATCCAGCCGTTCGTCATAGGCGCACACGGCTTTTAAAAAAGTGAAGCGCTGGACTCGGGCCAGCGCAAAAATAGAAGCAGATGTTGTTAGTTGCGTTCAGTAAGTACACGGGCCGCGCCGTTTCGACGATGGATCCCTCGAGCTTTTGCCCCCGGGAGGAGGAGAATTAGGGAGGAGGGAGAAGGAAGCGATGGAGGAGGATGGAGGAGGGAAGAAGGAGTAAGAAGGATCTCTTCCTCTGGAAGGCAGGCTGATCTCATTGCCCTTGAATTCTTACTAACTTAAAGCAGCTTAGATAAAAATAATTAGCCGGATAAATGCGAGGTGTCGCTAGATGGCGCGCTCTGGTCGGAGGATTTTATTCTTGAATCCATCGGGTGCCATGACTCTCTCTCTCTCTCCCTCTCTCTCTCCCTCTCTCTTTCTCTATCCCCGCCTCGCCTCTCTTCTACTCGAACATTTTCGTCCGATGCCATCGACCAAATGTTTTTGCTTTGAAGTCGGGGAAGATGAACGGGGGAACCTCCTTCTAATTTCCACCGTCTGCATTCTTAACAGCTGCGCGCAACACGCTTCGATACGGCTGGCGGGAGAGGCCGTGTTTAATTAGTATCGTGTTTATGCGTGTCGCTGCCCTTTTAAGTTTCCCGGGGACAATTTCGAAATCCGTCGATCGCGTCGTTTATATACGCTGTTTCGCGGATTCGAACATCTCCTCGGGAAGGTCAGTGATCGTTTGGAGCTCGAGCCGAGAGGTCCTCGTCGCGTTGTTGTGCTCGAAATCATGTGACTCATCGCCGCGTGTCGCTCGGTGTTCGGCCTGATCGAAATATGTTGCTGCCTTCCACTCTATGGATTTTATTAGTAAAAATATTTGAAATTGTTAATTAATTTGTTAATAATTTTCTAATTCGTCTGTGTGATTTTTTACCCTTTGTTCGTTTAATGTTGATTCGACTCGATTTTCCTTCGTCGATATCGAGAATTTAGGATCAGGGATCATGTTAATAGATTTTAGAATTAATCGATTTTTGTATTAAATAGATTCGTTTATTAATAATTTTCTAGTTTGGATTATTCTTTAATGTTAATTAGACGTGGATGGTATTCGATTTTCCTTCGTAATTCGAGAATTTAGGATTGTATCAGGGATCATATTAATCGATGAATTTAGATTTGTATTGAATAGATTCGTTTTATAATTATTAATAATTTTCTAGTTTGGGTTATTAGTTTACGTGATTCTTTAATATTAATTAGACGTTGATGTTACTTGATTTTCCTTTGTAATTCGAGAATTTAGAATTGTATCAAGGATCATGTTAATCGATAAGTTTTAGATTTTTATAGATTTTTATTGAATAGATTCGTTTATTAATAATTTTCTAGTTTGTTGGTTTGTGTGATTCTTTAGCGTGTGTTTGTTTAATGTTAATTATTAATTAATTAAACATTGATGTTACTCGATTTTCCTTCGTAATTCGAGAATTTAGAATTGTATCAAGGATCACGTTAATCGATAAGTTTAGATTTTTATTGAATAGATTCGTTTATTAATAATTTTCTAGTTTCGGTTATTCTTTAATTAGACGTCGATGTTATTCGATTTTCCTTCGTGATTCGAGAATTTAGAGTTGCATCAGGGATCATTTTAATGTACAATCGATGAGTTTAGAATTGTATTGAATAGAAATTAATATCGTTATAATTTGAATATGTAAAAAGAATAGGAAGAAGAAAATATTCGATATAAAATTAAATTCACACGTGTCGCGAAAATTTGCGTCGCAATTCTCCGTGGACTCTGCTTCGTAAACAAAACAAAGCCTTGGTCAAATGCGATACACAAATCGAACAAGAAAAACTGTTTTTGTATACGAAAATTTACAATAACACACGTGTGACTACGTGCGTTTAATCTTTTTGCGCATCTTCGAATACATCGTAATAAATCTATAATATCCTTTCGAGGGTCAAAATTTTCAAGGATGAGCGTAATACGAAGCGAGAGAGAGAGAAAGAGAGAGAAAGAGAAAGAATCGATCTCGTTTCTTTCCCATACAAAATTTCACGCAACAATTTTACGTAATTATCGATGAATTCGTGAAGGAAAATGAAAGGTGGTTCGCACGTAAAGCGAATACGTCATCGCGTATCCAACAATCGCGAAATGATATCCCTGGCATTATGGAATTGGTGGCAGGGGTGGCGCGCAGCCGGCGATTTCAACTATTAGATCGGTCCTTAGAGAGTTTTGGTCGATTTGCAGATTACGAGTCCCCGGGATGCAAGGCTGACATGGCAGAGGGTTCGGCCGAGGAGGAACAGAGCAGTACCGCTGCGCCCGCTTCCCCGCCAGCTGATCTTCGCACTCTGAACACCCAATTGTCGCCGCCTTATCACCACCAGTCCCATCTCCAACCTCGTCTTCAGCATCTGCAGCATCCCAACATGTTGGCGACCGCCGTGCCGCCCAGGCACAGCCACAGTATGCTGTCTCATCAGGTGAAAACGGAAGCCGAGTTGGACGCGCCCTGTGATGTGCCATTGAATCTCAAGAGCGAGGTAAGTCCTCCATGAATCCACTATCTTCTATCCACCTCTCGAGAGAGAGAGGTGGATTAATGTACCGTGATCGATTAAGATTCGTTCTAATCAACGCGGGAACGGAATTACATCGACGCTCGTTAAATAGCCGATTATTAATTAAATTTTAATGATATCCGATGAGTCGTTCGCGTGAATGTCGTTCGACGGGCGATCGAAGAAATTTGTTGGAAATTATCGTGGAGGATCGATTGTATTTGGTTTCTTTCATCGAATTTTTGAAATTTTTGAAATTTGAAATTATGGGTTTTGGAATTCTTCGAGCGGCATAATTAAAGGGGGTGGCTAATCACCGTGATTTATATCATTATATTTTTCTTCTTTCTATGTTTTATAGTTATGAGATATCAAGAGAAGACGTTTTAGAAAATTGAGAAATAGAAACAGTTATTAAAATTTATAGAGTCATTATAAAATTTCTTACGATTGGATTCTTCTTTTACAACAGAATTAGAAATCGATAATTTGTGAATTTTAGATTAGATCACTTTTGATTCTTGTCAACGTAAATATTTCAAATTATTGGACAAACTGTATATTTGCACAATTCGGAGCAAATTAATTTCTCAATTCTACTAATTTCGGAGGCAAACACGAGGATTCTACCCCTGCATCCGTGGGCTGGCGTTCCAGATCGTTAATAAGAAAGACCCTCAGTCGAAAGGATCGTCACACTCGTTAGTAACGGTTTTGTGTGTCAATGACAACCAATTGTCTGGTTAAGTAGCTGCCGCGCCGCATCCCAACCTAAATCGGCCAATGGTCTCTCTGACCTGTATACGATTAACGTACAAAACAAAGCGTGTCGAACGACTTCCATGTGGACGGCCGGGGTCAATGTACCAAGCTGATTCTTTCTTTAGAGATTGCACAACGCGTGATACCCGATCATCAATCTGAAATCAAATTGTCCCCCCAAACCTTATATGTCCAAACAATTGAGAAGCTTCCTGGATGAACGTGATTGAAATTGTCTCAATTATTTTAATTGAATTTACATTTCAAACGTAATGAAAAATTAAGATCGAGGATGAAATAATTATTAATTATTCCAGAGAGTAGATAATCTTTTTTGAAAAATTGATGAAAAATTGATTTATAGATTACCCTACCTTCTCTGGTAGATCGTTTTTAATTAAGTACAATGTGTCTAATGTACTTAAAAATGTATATAAAAGCCAATTCGATTTTGAAAAATTTGTAATCCATATCTCGATGTGCATTAGACACACGATAAAACAAATATATATATATACGATTTACCAGAAAAATATTCTTACATAACAATTTTTCCCAGAAAGCTCCTCGAATCTTCCTCCTTAACCTCAAAGCGCGGAAAAATGATCGTCTCGTCACAAATAATCATTTTTACATTTCACATTTGTACGTCATAAAATATTATTTCCACCGATCGTAAAATTCCCGAACAATTTTCACTCGACTTGGACAATTTCTTCTCCCCGTTATACCCGTGTATAAATCGTGTATAAATCGTGCGCAATCTATTCGGGCACGCGATTCGAAATTTCCACGAATCATAGATCACACGATCAGACTCTTAAGCTTCCCCCCGACTTTCTAAGCCCACGTATAGGCGTGTGTGTACGTCGAGGGAAGAAAAAGACAAAGGCGTTATCGTTGTGGTTTACACGTTCGTTTAACCCATACACTCGCGCCAATCTAATCTCCATACTCGGAGAGTACACCGTGGTCCGGGCATCTTAAGAAGAGAACGAAGCCTGCCGACTCCTTGTGCGTTATTACCTTAAAACTGGCGGAAAAGGTTGCTCCCGTTAGTGGCCGTGGGAAAATATCGTAGCGGATAGAATGTCAAAGTTTCTAACGGGGTTCTACGTATACACGCCATGTGTAATACCACCACGGTATGCGACTTCTCCACCGCGCGTATATGCGCACGACATTTGCTTAAGCGTTTGCACGAAACACTTCCGCGTTCCACGGCACGGAGTAAAGTCTAATCACGGTTTCCAACCCGCCCCTCCATCCAATAGGCGGCGTCGATCATTTATCAGGCTGTAATCTGTATCGAAGAATCGACCACTCGATCTTTATTACGATCTCTTGATCTCTTTCTTTCTTTTTATTTTTTTTTATTTCTATTTTTTATTTTATTTTATTTTTTTCTTCTTTTTTTTTTTGGATATCGTGCTAGATAGATCCGTTACTACGGATCGGATAATTGTTTATTATAATCCTTGGATATCGAGAAAACTGGGTATAGACTCGCATGATCTAGGAACGGCTTTGAGGTTAGGTACGCGTATACGGAGCTAGTTGCGTGCTACGCGCGAAATTAGTATTTATGGGTGGCCTGTTAACGAGAAACGTTTTGTTCGGTTCGTAAGCGGTGAATTAGTTGGTATTTCGAGAGAAAGAGGTTAGGAAGCGATTCGTGGTTTACGGGTCCTAAATTTGATTTGTTAGGAGATTTGTTGTTGGGAAACGTTCTTCGCTCTTTTTTAATAGCGATTTTTACATTCCATAAGTTGAAATCCTAATAAATTCCATTTTTGACATTTACTTTTATTACATTTTATAGGTGACGAGTAAAATTTATTCGTATGCGCATACATAGATCGAGGGTATATCCTCGATGCATACAAGGCATAAAGATTGTACATGCGCGAGAAACTCGAAAGAAACGATAAATTTCAACCGCGTGCAATAGGTTGCACGTAATAGGGAAATTTTCAGAAGCTCGTTTGAAACGATACACGACGGATAACGGAGCTTTAGCCGATATTAACGTGTAATCCTAATTGTCGCATTCGTCGGTTGTATTATTAAAGTTCGACAAAAGCGTTTCTTTTTCCCGAGCGGGTTGATTCCAGGCATCACGGGCAAATTCGTCCGTCCAACAATGCACAACAATGATGCCAATTAGCCGACAAAAGAGAATAATAGTATACCAGAAGAGGAACCGCGAGGCGCGGCCAGCCTCGAGACTAGAGTCTCGAAAACAGCAGTCTCATCCGTTGGTCCACGCTCTTTCTCTCTTTCCCTCCTCCTCCTCCATCCATCCATTACACTATTATCCCCTCGGCAAACATCCAGGATCCATCCGTGGACACTCGACGCATGGACTTAATGCCTCCCAGGATCGGGTGTCTGAGGAAGGGAGAGTGCAATTTACGCGCAAAAGAACTAGGATGTGTTTCATCCTCATCATTTTTCGCAAAAAAGAAACAGCTTTCCTCCCTCCTCTCTGTTTAACTGGGTACAGCATACATAATAATGTCGCCGGTGAGCTTCAGCCGTGCGTGGCGTGGCGATGGATTTCCCAGGTGAAATATGAAAAGATTCTCGGCGAGAAATTGCGATCGTCCGGATTCTTTTTATCGCTGTTAACGCGTCAAACATTCTTGGAAATTTGTTCTTTACTTTTTTAATGGAGTATGCGTTCGGATACGCGATGGAACGTTTCCACTTTATCTTATTTTTTCGGTATTTCGAAATTTTTATTAGCGAGAGATGGAAAATTATTATACAGGGATGTAAGAGAGAACGAAAGAGAAATATGAGTTATACAGTGAATGTAATAGAATTTTTTTGATTAATGTGTGCAATCTTTGGAACGAAAGAGATTTTCATAAAATTGCAGGTACGTTAATTTCAATTTTATACAAAAAAAAAAAAAAAAAAAAAAAATCGAACCACGATTTTTCCAAGATGAAAGTCAAACGTGGTACAACAATCGTTCGATCCGTTTAATGATGATAAATTATCGAGCTTTCTTAATGATTCTCTCAATGTCACTGTACTTATTTCTCTTCTAATTACGGAATATCTTCTTCTCGCGAGAATAATGGACATTCAGCAACGATAATAAGTAACGAGAATACAAAGACACAGTCCTTCAAGGATTTTTCGTTAGACGCACGAGGCCGTTCGTGACTAAACGCGAGCCACTCGACTGAAAAACTCCTCGGCTGAAAGACCGTGCGCGCGAAGACACGATCGTAGACAATTAAAAACCATAAAAACGTCGTTGCGAAAACGTTCGATAGAAATACGTGTTCAACGCTATCGGTCACGGTTTTCTCATGGTCATCGCTGCTTTCGCTATTTCTTCTTATTGTCTCATTGAAACAGTTACGTTCGATTCCATCTACGTCTAATACTTGCAGAAATCCTGCAAAGGTTACGCTTATACTTCCCTAAGATCTTTCCTCCCATTAGAATACACCGAACGTATACGTAACAAGATCAGATAACACGATCATCGAAAGTATACAGAAATTATACACCGGTATAAAACGAACGGTATGAAACTTTATCGACAACAAAAATTTTTTCCCCTATATTCCCTATTTCTTCTACACGTTACTCCCATTGCAAACAAACATTATTTCCTCGAATTATTTCCTTTTTATTATTTCTAAAATTGTTGCGATCTAAAATTTTTGATATTCATTTGCCACTTTCGGGAAACGTGATCTCGCATGTAACGAAACGTCTTACGTTATTTCCGTATCTGTACGTTTAACGTTCAAAGAATAATCTCCCTCTTCCCTCCAAAAAAAAAAAAAAAAAAGAATATTCGCAATAATCCCGATTTTATCGCGAAATACACGAAGTCGAAGCGCCATCGAGGGCATTGAAATCACCCAGCGTGCGGCGTGAAAAAGACCAACGGGAAGAAAGTCTCCCTCCCCCTCGATTCCATCAGAAACCACTTGCACAGCGATCCAAGATTCAATTTCCTTGCATCTCTATACCCTTTTCTTGAAACACGAGTTGAAATAAAAATAGAGCGTCGAAATGTATCGAGCATCTTTGCCAACAGCATCGGCAAGTCGATACGTATCTTATTCGATTAAACGAGAGCGAGCGGATGCATCGTCACGTACGTGTCCTTAAGATGTTCTCGAAGAAAGTGTCGTCGGAAAGTTGATCACAGAGTTGGAATATTATAAATCTATAAACGATTTTTGCCG